TTTCCCTCTGCGTGGAACACCCTCCTTGGCCTTGTCGGCTCGGGAGTCACCTCCTACAGGAAGACTTCCTTCAGGACGCCCCTCCCCAGGCTTGGTTGCCAGCCCGCTTGTGTATCCCTACTACACTTGGCCCCCCACTCTTGCCTGTGTCTGACTCCCATTCTACCCCATGGACCTCAAAGCACGCTGTTCAGTATAACCACGACAGAGCTTTAAACACAAACACACGCACATATACACAGAGCTGTCTAGGAGGCAGCCCAAACACAGACTCTGAATTTCCTAAATCTCCTTGCGGGGGCACTCTGAGCACCTGCATTTTCTAAGCCCCAGGATCGACCCTGACACAAGGCGCAGGTGTGATCCACTAACTCTCACTGAAAGCCTCCCCTACACCCAGCCCCCACTTGAGAGCCCTGCCTGGTTCACGAAGGCATTCCCGTGCCCACCAAGCTGAACTAGGGCAAACTAAAACTGGGAAAATCAAAGTTCAACTGCAAGGAGGGTAAAATTTGGATTGAAAGCTTTATTGAAAATTTAAAAAGCACGAATACTGTGCACAACTTCTTACAAGTCAGCAGAACAGACTTCAAAAACGGACATGAAAACTACTCAACAGGCCTTTGCAATCAGATACGTAAAAAGCCTGTGCTTAGCTTTTGTGGCAAATTTCATCTTTTGTTTATTTACATACTGACAGGGAGTGACTTTATAGTTTTATTTACTTCTTTTCATTTCAATTGCTTTTATGCTGCATTTATTCCAGCACTTTAATTTTGTGCTTTGCACCCTGGAGCAACTTCAGCAGGGTGTGGGAGTTTGTTTTTATTTTTAAATTAGCATATAGTAAAATTGCCTTTCTGGTGGGCAGGTCTATGAGTTTTTGTTTTTTTTTTTTTTTTGTGGTACGCGGGCCTCTCACTGTCGTGGCCTCTCCCGTTGCAGAGCACAGGCTCCAGACACCCAGGCTCAGTGGCCATGGCTCACGGGCCCAGCCGCTCCGCGGCATGTGGGATCTTCCTGGACCGGGCCACGAACCTGTGTCCCCTGCATCGGCAGGCGGACTCTCAACCACTGCGCCACCAGGGAAACCCCAGGTCTATGACTACGAGTTTTAACACTCGTAGAGATTTGTGTAACTACCACCACAATAAAGATACAGAACAGCCCATCTTCCCCAAACACGCCCTCATGCTGCCCCTTTGAAGCCACACCCTCCCCTAACTCCTGGCAACCAGCGACCTGTGCCCCATCAATCTACAGTCTTTTCAAGAATGCCATAAACCAAATCATGTAAGTGCATAACCTTTTTCTTCCTCTTTTTATTGTGGTTAACACGTATAACATAAACTTTATCATCTTAACCATTTTTCAAGCCATCTTTTAAGTGTACATTTTACTGGTATTAAATATATTCACAATGTTGTGCAGCCATCACCACCATCCATCCCCATAACTCTTTTCATCTTGTAAAACTGAAACTCTATACCCATTAAACAAAAACTCCCCATTCTCCCTTCCCTCCAGCCCCTGGCAACCACCATTGTACTCTATGTCTTTAAATACATAACCTTTTGAGACTGGCTTCTCTCACTCAGCATTATGCCTTTGAGATTCATCCAAGCTGGTGTGTGCATCAACAGTTGGTCCCTTTTTATTGTACAGCAGTATTCCGTCATATGGACGTAGTATAGTTTATCCATTCATCCCCTTAAGGGCATTTGGGCTGTTTTCAGTTTTTGGCAATTATGAAGAGAGCTGTTATAAACACTCATGGGCAGGTTTCTGTGTGAACATAACTTTTCATATCTCTAGGGTAAATACCTAGGAGTGAGACTGCTGTTTAACTTTATACGAAGCTGCCAAACTGCTCTGCAAAGCAGCGCGCCACTTGCCTCCCACAGGTAACGCACAACCGTTCTTGCTGCTCCGCATTCTCATCACATGGTATTTTTTTTTAAGACATTCTAAGAAGTGTATAATGATATCTCATCACAGCTTTAATTTGCATTTCCCTAATGGCTAATAATAATGTTGAGCATCTTTTCATGTGCCTATTTGCCATCCACATATCTTCGTTGGTGAAGTGTCTCTTTAAAAAGTCTCACACCTATGTTTTAATTGTGTTGTTTGTTTTCTTAACTACTGAATTTTGAGAGTCCTTCATATATTTTGGATAAAAGTCTTTTCTTGCATATGTGACTTGCAAATATTTTTCCCAGTCTCTACCTGCTATTTCATTCACTTACCAGTGAGTGTCTTTTGTAAAGAAAGTTTTTACTTGTGATGAAATCCTTTTTTAAAAAATATTTATTTATTTTCCTTATTTTTTTGGCCGCGTCGGGTCTTAGTTGCAGCACACAGGATCTTTAAGGCATGTGGGATCTTTCGTTACTGTGAGCTGTCTCTGCGTTGCAGTGCTCAGGCTTCTCTCTAGTTGTGGCACACAGGCTCCAGAGCACGCGGGCTCTCTCACTGAGGCGCGGGAGCTCAATAGTTGTGGCCCCTGATGAAATCCGTTTAATCATTTTTTTCTTTCATGGTTCATGCTTTTGATGTCATCTCTAAGAACTCTTTGCCCAGTCCCAGGTCAAGGTATCTTCTGTTTTCTTCTAAAAGTGTTATAGGGACTTCCCTGGTGGTCCAGTGGTTAAGACTCCATGCTCTCAATGCAGGGGGCCCAGGATCGATCCCTGGTCAGGAAATTAGATCCCACATGCACGCTGAAACTAAGAGCCTGCATGCCTCAACTAAAGGATCCCTCATGCCACAACTAAGACCTGGCACAGCCAAATAAATAAATTTTAAAATAAATAAATAAAAAATAAAAGTGTTATAGTTTTACATTTAGACCTGTGATCCATTTTGAGTTAATTTCTATATAAGGTAGGAGATTTAGGTAAATTTTTTTTTTTTGGCAAATGGATGTCCAATTTTTCCAATACTATTTGTTGAAAAGACCATCCTTTCTCTGGACTTCCCTGGTGGCGCTGTGGTTAAGAATCCGCCTGCCAATGCAGGGTACACAGGTTCGAGCCCTGGTCCGGGCCGCAGAGCAGCTAGGCCCGTGCGCCACAACTACTGAGCCTGTGCTCTAGAGTCCATGCGCCACAACTACTGAAGGCCGTGCACCTACAGCCTGTGCTCTGCAACAAGAGAAGCCACCACAGTGAGAAGCCCATGCACCACAACGAAGAGCAGCCCTCCCAGTCGCCGCAACTAGAGAAAGCCCGTGCACAGCAACAAAGACCCAACGCAGCCAAAAATAAATTTTAAAAAAAAAGAGTATTTTAAATACTTCTGGTTACTTTAAAAAAAAGAAAAAAAGACTATCCTTTCTCCATTTAATTACCTTTTGCACCTTTGTCAAAAATTAACTGGTCGGGGCTTCCCTGGTGGCGCAGTGGTTGAGAGTCCGCCTGCCGATGCAGGGGATGCAGGTTCATGTCCCGGTCCGGGAAGATCCTACATGCCGCAGAGCGGCTGGGCCCATGAGCCATGGCCGCTGAGCCTGTGCGTCTGGAGCCTGTGCTCCGCAATGGGAGAGGCCACAACAGTGAGAGGCCTGCGTACCGCAAAAAAAAAAAAAAAAAAAAATTAACTGGCCATACTCGTATGGGTCTATCTATTTCTTGTATTCTATTCCATTGATCTATGTGTCTGTCCTTCCACCAACTCAAAGCTCTTGATGACCATAGCTTTATTAATCTGTATTTAAAATCTATATTATAACATCAGTTGGTGTGATGCCTCTAACTTTATTCTTTTTCAAAACTGTTTTGGCTATTCTAGTTCCTTTACCTTTCCATATAAATTTTAGAATCAGCTTGTATTTACAAGAAAATCCTGCTGGGATTTTGATTGGAATTGTTTCAAATCTATAGATCAATCTGAGGAGATGTGACATCTTCACTATATTGAATCTTGCAATTCATCCAACGGTATGTCTTTAAAAGTCCTGTGTCTTCTTTATGGGACTTTAAAAATTCACACAACTTCACCACAAGGGCTAAAAAGCTACCAACGCCTACTAGCAGTCTTTGACAACAGAACATATGACTAAAATCTACTAATGGAAAAGGAACAGCAACAAGAGCTGAAATTCTGCTCAGCTCCCGATGATGCTGAGCATTTAACTCTTTCAGGTCAAGCTACAGGGAAATAAAACAAAACAAAACAAAAAACTGCTTCACAGTAACACAAAATTGTTTCTAGTTTTAATCCTGACCTGTCTCACTTTAAAGCAACAAAAATGTCTCTCTTAACATAAGTGTGAACTTCAGTCTTTGGAATCCACATATGACATTATGCA